TGTCATTTGTTTTTACTTATGAAGTATTTCATTGTTGAAATAAACTTAGTCTTTGAAGTCACATAGTTTTGCATTCCCAAATTAGTTTTGCTACACTCTGTTCTTTGTACCTAACTTCATATTTCTGGTCTCAGTCCTCTTCACTTTTGCCTGGCACTGTTTTTATGTTTTATGTTTGGTTCCTTATCTTCTAGTTGAAAGTATGTTCTTCATGTGAAATATTTAATCAGTCTCCCCACCCTGGTTGCTGTGTTTCAGTCTGTTGTAGCTGGTGTTTTTTTATGATTGTCAAGTTGTCCCATCTTGGCCATCAAAAGTGGGGTGTTCAGGAGAAGTTCTTTGCACATAGGCTCTGATAGTGTTTGATAATTTCTTTGCTTATTAGGATTCACTGTGTAAAATTTTGTCCAGGATTTCTTGCCATCTGTGTTAATGACTTAGATTGGCTTGAATTTTCCTTTCCTACATGTTTTTTTTTTCAAATGTTTTTTATTTATTTCTGAGAGAGAGAGAGAGAGAACAAGTAGGGGAGGGGCAGAGAGAGAGGGAGAAACCGAATCTGAAGCAGGCTCCAGCCTCTTAGCACAGAGCCTAACGCGAACCAGGAGATCATGACCTGAGCCAAAGTCAGACGCTTAACTGACTGAGCCACCTGGGTGCCCCTCTTACCTAATTTTAGTATAAAGTTTTTGCTGACCTTTTAAACAAATTGGGGAGTATTTCCTCCTTCTATTGTCTGGACAAGTTTATGTAAGATAGACCTTTTTGGGTTTTGTTTATATTAAATATAGAGTACTAGTGAAGGTATATGGGCCTGAAGTTTTTTTTTGTAGTAAGGCTTGGTTTTGGTTTTTTTCTTAATTATTAACTTATCTAAAAGTTAATAGGGTATTGAGCTTTTTTATTTTTTGAGTCACCTTTGGCAAGTTATGTTTTCATAACGTTTGTTCATTTCAACTAAAATGTCAAATTCATTGGCATAAAGTTGTTAAAAAGTATCCTTACTATCTTCTTCATTTCAGTAGAATCTATGGGGATATCCCCATTTTCATTTCTGACAAAGATTTGTGTGTGTGTGTGTGTGTGTGTGTGTGTGTGTGTGTGTTGGTGTCTATGTTCTCAGTCTGGTCATGGATCTACCAGTTTTACTGATTTCAGAGAACTAACTTCTGACTTTTATTGATGCTCCCGATTCTGTGATTGTTTTCTATTTTATAAACTTTTATTTATATTTTCACTAATGTTTATTTTCATTTTGTCTTCAGTTCCTTCCTTTCTTCCTCCCCCCCTTTTTTTTGGTATTTAATTTACTGTCCTTTTTACAAATAGACGCTTAGTTTTTTGATTTTCAGCTTTTCTTCTTTCCAAGTACATGTATTTAAAGATATAAATTTCCTTTTAGTTCAGCTATATTTGTGTTCTCTAAGTTTTGATATGGAGTACTCTTTATCATCCAGGTAATAATTACATATGAATCAAATGCTTCTAATTTTCATGGGGGAGGTATTTTGAGCCTTGGATTATATGAGTATGAATTCTTAACATGGAGACTTTTAAACGATTGTTTTGTTAGTGATTTCTAGTTTATGTTCAAAAAAGGTACTCCAGGTGATTTTGATTCTCTGAAATTTGTGGCTTGCTTTTATGATCCCAACATATGGCTAGTTTTTTTAATATTCCATGTGTATTTGATAAAACTATAGGAGCATCTGGGTGGTTCAGTTGGTTAAGCATCTGATTCTTGATTTCACCTCGGGTCATTGTCTCATGGTTCATGGGTTTGAGCCTTGCATCAGGCTTTGTGCTGACAGTGTGGGGTCTACTTGGGATTTTCTCTCTCTGTCTCTCTCTCTCTCTGCCCCTCCCACACACACACAATCTCTCTCAAAATAAATAAATAAATAAACTTAAAAAAAAAAAAAGAAAAGATATTTGTTGGGGTATGGTCTTAAATTAGGCTAGGCTTGCTAATCATTTGGGTCTTCAATATTCATACTGATTTTTCCTTTTTTCCTTTTTTTTTTTTTAGTTTGGTTACTTTATTTCCTTAACTTCCAATATCACAAAAAATGAACACATCTACAGTTCCCTAAATTTATCCATTTTAATACTTAACAGGGTTTACAAATGTACGTCTGAATCACTTGTGTTTTACTTAAGTATTTTTTTTTACTTAATAATTCTTGTTGTAAAGTATAAATAAAAATGGTTAAAATGATAAATTTTATGTTAAGTGTACAATTCAGTGGCATTAAGTACATTCACAGTATTGTGTAACCATCACAACCATTTCTAGAACTTTTTCATCATCCCAAACAGGAAAAATGCACCTGTTATGCAATAATTCTGTATTTCCTCCTCCTTTCAGTCCCTTTTAACCTCTGTATTACTTTCTGTCTGTATGAATTAGCCTATTTTAGATACTTATATAAGGGGATTCCTACAGTATTCTTTTTCATGTCTGGATTATTTTACTTGGCTTAATGTTTTTAATATTCATAATATTGTAGCATGTATCAAAGCTTCATTGAAGCTTTAAGGCTGAATATTCTGTTGTATGGATATGCCACATTTTGTTTATCCATTCATTTGTTGTTCGATGTTTGGGTTATTCCACACTTTAGCTATGTGAATAGTGCTGTTATGAACATTGGTGTACAAGTATCTGTTTTCAGTTATTTGGGGTGTATATCTAGGATTGGAATTGTTTGGTCATTCTGTATTTAACCTTTTGAGGAACTGTCAAACTGTTTTCTACAGCGCCTACACCATTTTACATTCTCAGCAGCAATGCATGTTTTCATGTTCTCCATTTGCTTGTCAGCACTTAGTATTTTCTGTTTGTGTGTGTATAATAGCCATTATACTGGGTGTGAAGTGGTATTTTGTGCTTATAATTTGCATTTCCTTTATAACTAGTAATGTTGAACATCTTACTTGCTTATTGGCCATTCATCTTCTTTGAAGAAATATCTTGTCTCCTTTTGTGTCTTTTTTAAAAATTATTTTACGTCTGTCATTTTCACAACTGCTTAACGCAATAATTAGAGTTAAAAGATAATGATACTGACTTACAGAGAATTTTTGCTTTTTTATGACAAGTGCTTATTGAGATGAGTCAGAACTGAACTTGTGATTTATACTTTTTACTTTTAGTTCTCTCTTAACTCCAGAGGTAAAGACTTTCCAGGTCCCAACACAGAATAAGTGGCATTCACTAGTGCCCCTAACCTCCTGGTGGCTCCAGACTCCAGTCTCTATCTCTCTAGTCCCTCAAGACTGTCAGGCACACCATCAACCTCTTAACCTTCCCCTTGGAATCAGAGAAGTCCCAAGGAGGGGCTCCTGGCTGGCTCAGTTGGAAGAGCATGTAACTCTTAATCTCAGGGTTGTGAGTTTGAGCCCCACGTGGGGTGTAGAAATCGCTTAAAATCAAAAAACAAAATTTTAGAGAAGAAAAGTCTCCAGGAGAAAAGCAATCGTAAATAACAGACACCGTTATAATAACACCTCTCTGTGCCAGTGTCCCTCCAGGTGCTGGTTCAGTCCTTTTTTACTATCTTGTTAGCTTTCCATGCCTGTAAAGAGCTCTAGCTTTTCTGATTGTCTCTCTAGGAGGATTGGTTTGTGTTACCCATTAATAGGAAGGCAAGTTTTAATTTTCATGGAAATAACAATTCTGTATTGTCAAGTGCCTATTTCATTGGCTTATTTAATACATATTTAATGACACCATTATAATAAGGACTATAGCATACACACATTTAGAACAAATGCTGCTGACAATTGTTCCCATATAACTCAGTTGTTGAGATTAGAAATAAATAGATGAGTGTTATTTATATACTGCTTGCAACTTGTATTTTTATTTTTATTTTTTTCAGTTTATTTATTTGAGAGAGAGTGTGGAAGAGGGCCAGAGAGAGAAGGAGAGAGTGAGTCCCAAGAAGGCTCCACGCTGTCAGCGCAGAGCCTGACGTGGGGCCGGAACTCACGAACTGTGAGATCATGACCTGAGCTGAAATCAAGAGTCTAGAGCTTAACCAACTGAACCACCAGGCGCCCCTGCAGTTTGTTATTTTTAAGAGGGAGTGTAGCATATTAGTTAATCCAGTGAGTTTTTAAGTGAAGATTGATTAATAACTCTTCATATGGTTCTTTGTTTGAAGCTTATATACCACAGACGTTCTGGCCTTAAGTAAACCTTCTGTACGCAAATTTGAAATTTTGTGATTATTTGAATATCAGGGGTTTTTACTATTTCTTTCTTGTCATCTTTAAAAGAAATCTTATTTAGTCAGCAAATACCTCCTTTGTATTTCTTCAAGACAGCATGCCAAGTTCTATGAAGAGACGGTCATAAATCCTGACTGTCAAAAAAGGAAGAAATGTTTAAAGAGAGAAGACATGTAGAGAATTACTCAAAACATGAGACATACTATGATGGGTTATCTAAGTGTCTGGATAAAGTGTTCAGGATTCAGTGAAGGATGACTGTTTTCAAAGGGGATTCCCCACTTTGTTTTGAATGTGTTTAGCATATTCTTCTAAACAGCAGAGTGTAATATATTTGAGACCTTAAGTCCTGGTTATATATTAAAGACTGTGAATTGAACCTCTTTGGCCATTGTTATTTATGTAAGAGCTGAACGAGGGTGCTCTTTTTGACTCTGGTTTTTTTTGTTGTTTTTTTTTTAATTTTTTTTTTTTTTTCAACGTTTATTTATTTTTGGGACAGAGAGAGACAGAGCATGAACGGGGGAGGGGCAGAGAGAGAGGGAGACACAGAATCAGAAACAGGCTCCAGGCTCCGAGCCATCAGCCCAGAGCCTGACGCGGGGCTCGAACTCACGGACCGCGAGATCGTGACCTGGCTGAAGTCGGACGCTTAACCAACTGCGCCACCCAGGCGCCCCTTGACTCTGGTTTTTAAGGTAATGCCAGTGATGTGATTATGTGCACCTGAGTTCTTTTTTTTTTCTTTTGGTCTCTGTTTATAGGAAGAGCATTAAGAAGTTGGTTTTGAAAAACCTTAACAACAGCAATCTCTTTTCTCCTGTTAATCGTGACTCCGAAGATCTCGCTTCACCATCTGATTATCCAGAAAATGGGGAGAGGTAAGCCAGATTTTGTTTTGGGTTGTTCCTGGAAGAGAGCCCTGTTCTCATTCTGAAGAGATTCTAAGCTTGGAATTTACTCATTCTATGAAAATGTATGAAGTTTGGTGAATGTTGCATAGTATTACAGCATATGAGCATCTAGAAATTAAGTCCTGTTCTTGTTTTTTGAGTACTTTAGACCTTAAAATTATTGGAGTTCTTCTGATTCAGTTTTGCATAACTATTTTGGTATCCGTGCATGTCATTTTGAACCAGGGTTCTCACACATTTGACACCCTTCACCACCTTTAAAATGAGCGATATCTTGTTTGTGATCATTATCAAAGTGATACATGGTCACTGTAACCAAACCAAAAAAATAAGTAATAAGTATACAAGTGTATAAAGGAGGAAGTGGAAATAGTCACCCTTATAACCCTTAATAGTTTGATGTCTTTTCTTAGAATTTTGAAATTTGTTTATATAGATATTGTAGAGATAGGCATGAATGATGCAATGTTTTATAGCTTGCTTATTTTTATTTATTTTATTATAAATACCTTTCTATATCAATATGAATATATATATGCCTCTTTTTTAATTACTTGGTAGCCATTATTGTGAATATATGATAATTAGTTCCCCATTAGAAGACATTTAGATTATTTTGATATTCCTATATTCAGAGTAATGCCTCAGTGAAAAATTCTATTTACATCTTTGCACTCCTGTTTTTGTTTTTTGTTTTTGTCTCTCGGGATAAAATTCTAGTTTGATTTTTCATGAACGAAGCATTTTCTAATACCTTGCTGATAATAATATTGAAAACCTAAAATTTTTCAATTTTTTTAGTTTGAAATTCACCACTCTTATTTGACCTTACATAGTAGAGTGCCTTTTTTTTCTTTTCACTAAAAATTGGGAAAATTGGGATGTTCAGATCACTCATTCATGAAAATATAGGAGTTAAAGGCATGGAATCTACAGCCAGTTTTCCTGGGTTAAAATCCCAGCTCTAGCACTTAGAACTTTTTTAATTTGGGCAAGTTACTTTCTTATTCTCTGTCAGTTTTCTTTCCTGTAAAAGAGAATGATAGGAACCTATTACAGAGGGTTACCACAAGTATTAAATAAAATTTTAATATATGGAATTACCTAGAATAGTCCCGGGCACTTATTAGTAAAAGCTCAATGAAGGTTGGCTATTACCATTTTTACAAAGAGCTAAGATATTATTTGTTTTCTACCTTTTCAGGTTCAGTTTCCTGAGCAAACCTGTTGATGAGAACCATCAGCAGGATGGAGATGATGATTCTCTTGTGTCACGTTTTTATACTAACCCTATTGCCAAACCCATTCCTCAAACCCCAGAGAGTGCTGGAAATAAACACAACAGCAGTAGCAGTGTGGATGATACCATTGTTGCACTAAACATGCGTGCTGCCTTGCGAAATGGGCTGGAAGGAAGCAGCGAAGAGACCTCTTTTCATGAGGAGTCACTGCAGGATGACAGAGAAGAAATAGAAAATAATGCTTACCATATGCATCCAGCAGGTCAGATTTAGATTGGTACATGAGTAATCTTTTACTAGTCATTTAAGACCTCTTACTTGTCACAGATTTTCAACTTAGTGGAAGTCAGGTATCTGAACTTTTTAATGTTTTTATTGCATTTTCTAGAAGTTAACATTTTAAACCCTTTTCACATACTCTTTGGTTGATTTTTTTCTTTTTTTTAATGTTTATTTATTTTGAAAGAGAAAGTGCACTCACATGAGCAGGGGAGGGGCAGAGGGAGAGGGAGAGAATCCCAGGCAGGCTTCAGATTCAATGTGGAGCCCAACACGGGTCTTGATCTCAGGACTGTGAGCTCATGACCTGAGCCGAAATTGAAAGTCGGACACTTAACTGACTGAGCCACCCAGGTGCCCCTGCTTTGGTTGATTCTTAATTCACATACTTTCTGTATTTTTGGAGTAAATTCATGTCATTAATTATCCTGGCATAGTTTAAAGATCCCAAATTTTATAGCCACAGAGACTATCCTACTTTTTCTAGCTTTATAAACTCAGATTGCTTACTAGTTTTTTAATTAAAATAATAGTGATAATTATTATCATATAAGGGTTTGAGATATGAATTAGCATAGTATATAAACCATAATGACTGAAATGTGTAGGGATTCAAATGGTATACGCTGTTATGGTTATTTATTATCACCTCAGTTCTGTGCTTTTCTTTCGTTCCCCCCAACAATGAACTGATTAGTTTTTCCCAACTGATCTATGAAACAAATAATGTAAACTACAAGATTATAGTGTCTTGATTGTTTACTTAAAGCTTGCCTTTTTTTCTTTGTTGACCTAATATCTCATTTGTTGTTGTTGTTGTTGTTGTTGTTTTATTTTTTTTTTAATTTTTTTTTTAATGTTTATTTATTTTTGAGACAATGCAAGAGACAGAGTGCAAGCAGTGGAGGGGCAGACGGAGGGAGACACAGAATCTGAAGCGGGCTCCAGGCTCTGAGCAGTTAGCCCAGAGCCGACACGGGGCTCAAACTCGTGAACCATGAGATCATGACCTAGCCGAAGTCTGACACTTAACTGACTGAGCCACTCAGGCGCCCCTGTTGTTGTTGTTTTTTAATGTTTATTTATTTATTTTTGAGAGAGAGTGTGGGCAGGGAAGGGGCAGAGAGAGAGGAAAGGGAGAATCCCAAGCAGACTTCATGCTGTCAGCACAGAGCTTGACACGGGGCTCAAACCTACAAACACAAGATCATGACCTGAGCCAAAATTGAGAGATGCTTAACTGACTGAGTCACACAGGCACCCCTCATTTGGGTTTTGATTAATGTAATCACATTCCCTTTTTTTTTTTAACAGGTACAATTTACATATAGTGAAGTGCACAGATATTAAGTGTTTATTTCAATCAATTTTGACATATATATACTGAATATATATAATGGAAACTGGAAAGTTTTTATGTCCCCATCCCCAGAAGTTGACCACAGTCTGGTTTCTGTCATATAGATTAGTTTTGCCTATTCTTGGACTTTATATAAATGGAATAATACTATATATATTTTTTTGACTCTATAATTTTTATCAGATTTAATCCACAATATGTCAACAGTTCATTCTTTTTTTATTGTTGAGTAGTAATCCATTACTATAAATATGCCACATTTGGTTTATCCATTCTCTGTTAGTGAACATTTGAGTTGCTTTATAGTTCATCTTGCAGTGTCTGTAACATTTTTCTGTATCTAATCATCTTACTGCCTTCACATATATTTTCTGGTCACTTGGTGCCCTGTGAAAACAACTTTATATTTTATTTGTGTGTGTATCTACATGAATTCATTATGATACTACATCGGTTTTTCAAATACCCAGTCTAGATTTTTTTTTTTAATTGCTCTTTGTTTTCTCATTAACCTTGTTTGTCACCTCTCATTTTAAAGTTCCATCCCCAGGGACACTGTAACAACTCTCTAAACATTGCCAGTAGAGAAACACATTAAGTATACAAGTGGGCATTGCAGGAGGATGAAGTTTGATCTGATATTAGCCTTAAATTCTCTCACAAAGCAAGTTAGCCTAATTTGTACCTATAAATGGGACAAGGGGTGATTACAACAAGCATACCAGTGTTCTGTTTTCTTGAATTCTTCAGAAATCTACTTAGTTAATACTTTTAAAAATAACACTAATTTAGACCTTTTTTTGTTTTTATTTTTAAATAACACTAATTTAGATGTTTTAAGTTTCCATTTGTCCTTGGGACTTTCTTATGTAGGATTTTTCTTTTTCTTTTTTTCTTTTCTTTTCTTTTTTAATTTATTTTGAGAGAGAGACAGAGAGCAGGGGAGGGGCGGAGAGAGAGAATCCTAAGCAGGCTCTGCACTGCCAGCATGGAGCCCAGCACCGCTAACATGGAGCCCAGTACGGGGCTCGAGCCCATAAACTGTGCGATCATGACCTGAGCCTAAACTAAGAGTCAGACACTTAACTGACTAAGCCACACATGTACCCCTCGTGTTGGATTTTTCATCTTGATTTTAGCTCTTTACTTAGGGATGTAAATTTGAAAGATAAAAGGGGTTTATGGAAGACAGGCTGTAAAATAACACGTATTGACTTTGGAGTTATAGCTCTGCCTATACCGCCGAATTACTTTGTAATCAAGGCAGGTTCTTTACACATTGGGTTTTGGAATTTTCATCTGTAGAATAAAAGAAAAGTATCTTAAGTAACCCTTTCTCAGAACTCATTTTATGGATTATGTTGCATAGTATAGTATGTTAATGGAGGCCATATGAAGTTTCTCTGGTTAATTAGCGTGAGAAACACTGGATTAAGTGAAGTTAAATAGACTTATTATTATTATTTTTTTTTAAAGAGTTCTTTTTTTTTTTAATTTTTTTTTAACGTTTATTTATTTTTGAGACAGAGAGAGACAGAGCATGAATGGGGGAGGGGCAGTGAGAGAGGGAGACACAGAATCGGAAGCAGGCTCCAGGCTCTGAGCCATCAGCCCAGAGCCCGACGCGGGGCTCGAACCCACCGACCGTGAGATCGTGACCTGAGCTGAAGTCGGACGCTTAACCGACTGAGCCACCCAGGCGCCCCTAGACTTAATTATTTGACAAGTTCTCAGAGCCTGTAACATACTATCATGTGCATGTTTCCCAAACTTACTTGACCAGGAATCTTTAAACAAAAAAAACCACACGGTTTCTCTTAGGCACATAGTGTTCCTTAGAAAACCAGTTTGGAAAAATGCTTTATTCCTATATGTTTTCTCTTTATTTAATAATTTATTTAGTTACTGATTGTTTCAGATTATATTAGCTTTTAGATTATTATTTTTCAAAAAGGAAAAAGTGAAATATGAAAATTCCTCTACCTGAGGACAATTACGATTAATACTATATTTGCTGTTTCTTTTGTCATAGGCATTGTTCTCACTAAGGTTGGTTACTACACTATTCCATCTATGGATGACCTTGCCAAAATTACCAATGAAAAAGGAGAATGCATTGTCTCTGACTTCACTATTGGTCGTAAAGGTAAGTGTGAACGTAGAAGTTTGTAGTGTTTAAGCCAAAGATCTTCACCTTATTTTTGTAATTAAGTAAAAGAAGCTCTTGATAGCTGAATCCATTTCTTTTTTCCCTATACTTGGACCCACCTTGACCTTCATGGTAAACACTTTGGTAAGTAACAAAATAAGCTTATAATCGTGTAACATTCTTTGGTAACTGTTTGGCTCATTGGAGTTTTCTACAATTAAAGAAAGTGAGCAAGAAAATACTAAGAGAAAATTTAGTAATAAAAGATGGAGTAGTATTTAGGTTTAACTTCATACTAAGTTAATACAGATAACTTTTTGAGGGGGGGAATCTCATCTTGCTATATTGTATTTTCAAAAGGGCTCTCAGGTACACTGAAAGCTAGGTACTAAGTAAGGGTTGTTTCAAATGTAGCAGTAGTACAGATACTTAGATTTAAGAAGACTGTTTTGAGGATAAGTGCTATAGAAATGTAGATGTTAAACTAGATAACTGTGTTTGATGTCACCCTCTAATACATACTATGGATGAAATAACACAATGAAAGTATTACCAGATGATTTAAAATGTTCATGTTTAGCGACATCTGGCTGGCTCAGTCGACAGAGCATGTGACTCTTGTTCTCTGGGTTGTGAGTTTGAGCCCCATGTTGAATGTAGAGATTATTTAAAATTGTTAAGAAAATTAAATAAAATCCTGATTAATGTTTAAAGCTGCTTGCTTCCTCTGATTATTTAGTCACTGGGAGTATAAAATAGATTATTTGCCTTTCATACAGGATGAGTTTTTAACTATTTGCTTTGACTTGTAGGTTATGGTTCAATCTATTTTGAAGGAGATGTGAATTTGACAAATCTAAATTTGGATGATATTGTGCATATTCGAAGGAAAGAAGTGATTGTCTACTTAGATGATAACCAAAAACCACCTGTGGGTGAAGGGCTAAATAGGTATGAATTTATTTATGTATTTAGAAAAATCTGCTTGGGCTTCATAGGTGGCTCAGTCAGTTAAGTGTCTGACTTTGGCTCAGGTCATGATCTCACAGTTCGTGGGTTCAGGCCCTGTGTTGAGCTCTGTGCTGACAGCTCAGAGCCTGGAGCCTGCTTTGGATTCTGTGTGTGTCTCTCCCTCCTTCCTCCACTCTTATTCTCTTTCTCTCAAAATAAATAAACATTGAAAAAAAAATTTATGGAAAAAAAAGAAAAAATAATCCACTAAATCACATTTTTTTATATTATATACATTTTCCTGCAACTTGCTTTTTTGACTTACTGTACAGTCTAAGATGATTGTTTCTTTAATTTAAAAGTAAAAATGGTAAAGAAATGCTACACTAGGACTTTTTTTTGACTCCTTTTCCCTAATATCATCAGGACCAACTGTTACTTTCCCAAAACACTTTTTAATAGTACTTTTTTTTCTTGTGTCTGCTATGATCATTTTTAACTCTCTTTATTGTAATTGGAGAAACTAGCTTCGGATACCTGTTCAGACACACGAAAGGGCCACAGGTAAAATAATTTATGTTCACAGCCTACCAAGATTGAACTGTGAAGAAGTGGAAATTCAGAATAGCCCTATAAGTATAATAATTTTTAGATATTTCCTATTGTAGCAGTATTCTCATACAGGGAGTCGTGACCCTGAAGCTTTCCTTTCCAGGAAGCAACTTTATTTGTGCCGGCACGGCTCAGTTGGGTTCGTACACGAAGAACTGAGCCCCAAATGCTGCCTGGTATAGTTTTTAATACGTTTTCTATTTCTTTGTCTCTCTTATATGGTAACACACAAACATGTAGTCTGATTAAGTGGTCTCATGTTACAAGGTCATGAGGGATGTTGTCACATACACATATAGCCAGGCTGCCTTGAGGGTTTTTTTTTTTTTTTTTCTCTCTCTCTCTCTCTCTCTCCTTAGGGGACCCTACCAACCATAATAAGGAAATTGAATCAGTAATCAAAAAATACAGCCCCCCTATGCCCCCAAAAGCCTTCAACCACATGACTTCAGACTACAGATGAATATCCTTGATGAATACCGAAGTAAATATCTTCAACAAAATATACATTTGACCCTTGAACTGTGTGAGCCCACATACATGGGTTTTTTTAATAGTACAGTACTGTAACTGCATTTTCCTTACGATTTTCTTAACATTTTCTTTTTTCTAGTTTACTTTATTATAATACAGTATATAATCACATAACATACGAAATATGTGTTAGTCAGTGGTTTATGTTATCAGTAAGGCTTCTAGTCAACTAGGCTATTAGTAGTAAAGTTTTGTGGGAGTCAGATACACACATTTTCAACTGCACAGGGGGTTGGTACCCAACCCCAGCATTGTTCTGTCACCAGTTGTATTAGCAAATGGATTTCAGTAGTACATCGGGAGGATTTTACACCATGACCAAGTAGTATTTATTCCTGGAACACAAGGAAGGTTCAACATAGAAAAATTGATCTTGTAATACATCATGTTTGTAAAATGAATGAAGAAAATCACATGATAATCTCAACTGATGAGAAAAAGCATTTTGACAAAATACAATACCCTTTTATGAGAAAGCCACGCAACAAACTAGAGATAGAGGAAAACTATCTCAGCTTAATGGAGGCCATATTTTCAACGTCCACAGAAAATATGCTCAGTGGTGGAAGAGTGAAAGCTTTTCCTCGCCACTTTTATTCAATATAACTGCCAGGGCAGTTATGCAAGGAACAGAAATACAAGGTATCATCCTGGGGGCCCTGGGTGGCTTAGTTAAGCATCCGACTCTTGATTACAGTTCGGGTTATGATCTCACAGTTGTGAGATTGAGCCCTGCGTTGGGCTCTGTGCAGGTCATGGAGCCTGCTTAAGATATTCTGTGTCTCTCTCTGTCTCTCTCCCTCCCTCTCTCTCTCTCTGCACCTCCCCTGTGTGTTCCCACCATCTGTCTCAAAAGAAAAAAGGCATCACCCAGATTGGAAAGGAGGAAGTAAAATATCTCTGTTGAGAGATGACATGATCTTATGTGGGAAACCTAAAGATTCCATAAAACAATTATAAATTCAGCAAGGTAGCAGGATACAAAATTAACTCGCAAAAATCAGTTAAGTTTCTATATACTAATAATGAACAGTCCAAAAAGGAAAGCAATTCCATCAAAAAGAATAAAATATTTAAGAATAAGATTAACCAGAGAAGCAAAAGCTGAAAGAAGACAAACAAATGGTAATTATCTCATGTTCATGGATTGGAAGACTAAATTATTAAGATGTCTATATTACCCAAAGCAATCTACAGATTTAATGTAATCCCTATGAAGATACTAGCAGCATTGTACCTCACGTATGTAGTTAAGTTATCTTTGACAAGACTGCCAAAACCATTCAGTAGGGGAAAGAACAATCTCTTTACCAAATGATTCTGGGAAACCTGTATG